AATATCTGTGACTCAGCAAAGAAGAAATTATCACATCTAGTAAGAGTCATGAAAAAAGAAATAGAGCTCCCACCAACCTGGCCATTTGCTTGTAAGCTTCTTCAGCTACTGCAAAGATATGTGGATCCATATCACCCATATTCTGACCACTATATGCATTAATAATATCTTCTCCATAAATAGGCAGCTGTTCATAAGGATTTATAGCTACAAGGACTATACCTAGGGGAGGGGTAAAAAAAGCAAAAGAAGAAGTCAGTGATACACTAATGGACATATCAAACTTGGTAAAGCGAGAATCACAGTTAACACAAATTTCAACTTGAGTTAATCTTGAACTAACAAATTGTTAAAGATCGAAATATATCACAGCCTTTGCCTCTGAACACAATATACCCAGACCTAACTAAAACACCATTTAAAAACTGGCCTAGGTTATTAAAGATAAAAACCATGGCAATGTTAAAAGAAACATAAATATTTTCATAGTATTTAAATTGAAAATTACACTTTTAGAAATTTATCCAAATGAAATAACCAGAGATTTAAGCAAAGAGGTTTTTTTTCATAAAGATGTTTATCATATTATTCACAGTAGTGACAAGCAGAAACAAACTATATAATAAAGGAAGAGTAGCTAAATATTTTCTTACATCCCTATAACAGACATGGTAGACATTTATGCTACCACTACAAATCATGTTTATAAAGAATATTAAAAGTAATAGGAAAACATGACACAAAACTATCAACAGACTAATTCTAATTTCATATCTATTTATACTTTCTCACATATACACACATATAGGATATGTAAACATAATACTGGTTTTTTTCAGTAGTGAATTACATGTATATATTTTTCGTTTTTAAACACCTTTTTTTTGTTTCCTTAAATTTTATAGTAAGTATATTTTAAATTAATGAAGCCCTTCATTCTACAAATATTTATTCAGTTCCAAGTATGTCTCAAGTCTTTTCTGAGTGCTAGGTTTATAACAGTAAACAAAAAAAGACAAATCTTTACCCTCACAGACCTTATATTCTAGTAGGAAACTCAAACAATTAACAAGAAAAAATAAATATCACAGGTTAGATAGTAAAAAGGAAAAAAGAGAAAAATTAAACAGAGAAAGAACACGGAAACTTAGAAGGGGAAAAGGGTTTATGATTTAGATAAGGTGGGCTGCGAAGGCTTTATTGAGAAGGTAACATATATGCAAGAAAAAAGTAAACGGAGAAATGAAAATTGACAATCAGAAATAGTTAATAGAGAAGAAAAAGAGTTAGCATCAAGGATACAAGAGATATACATTCCTTTAAGAAGAAAAGATAGTTGTCCCTGTCCAAAGCAGGAGAGTAAGGAAGAAATGATAGGTGCTGAGTTGGTTACACCAAGCAAATAGACTTAGAAGAAAATGAATGAAATCCCAGACCTGAGGCTGGGGGAGAATAATTACTGAAAGAAAGATAAGAAGTCAGTAGAGAAAAGAGCCAGGGACAAGGGAGAAAATAAAAGTTAAGAAAAAAATAGAGACACAAAAGAAGGAAAGGGGGTAAGAACCCAAATGTACATGTGCTTAGTTTCCAAGAGAAAGAAAAAGACTACTGAGCTGGGTCACTGGCAGCTAACAATGCAGCGAGCATGGGTCCAGACAAACACATCAAGCAAGAATAGTTACTATGAGTTGTCAGTCCTGCACTGAGAACAAGAAAACACTAAACTTGAACTTGCTCCAAAGATAAGTCTGGACATCTACTCTTCGTATAGCAGCTCTTGTAAGAGATGAAAATAACTACCAAACTGTCACTGAATGTGGCAAATAATTTCTTTGGAAGGAAGAAAATCTGGAAGATGGGCCTAGCCCAGCTCAGGGTTTTTTGTTTGTTTCTTTGTTTTGGTTTTTTTTGAGCAAAATTATGTAATTTACAAAAGAGCTTATTCAGCACAAAATGCAATGAGCTAATGAACACTGGTAAATCTTTTTTGATAACTCAAGTGATCCTCTCTCTAGGAGGAAATCCAACGACAGCCTTTTTTCCCCATGCACAATATTTCCATGGTACGTCCATTAGAGGGAAGAGTTCATGGTCCACTCAGACAGCAAGGCACACTTACCACAATATGTATAGATAAGTTTGGAGTCAATAAAGCGGACTCTGAGATTGTGGAGCACAGCAGGCTCATGAAGATAGCTGAGGGCTGTGAGGTCATTTTCACCCACAAGTATGTCAGGGTTTCTTAAGTGAGGCAGTTCCTTAGTCTTTGGATCTAGACGATATTCCAAATCCTGAAAATGCATAAGGTACAGTCTGGATAAATCATGGCAATAAAAGTGAAACAAGTCCATGCATTTTGCTTATTTCCTATTCCTCATTTGCTCCTCAACTATTAAATGCATTCTTTTGCTGGCACATTTCCCAAAGCCACAGAAAATGGTGGAAATGAAGAGTCTTCTTTTTCATTAGATGTATTAACTTGTATTAATAATTTTTGCTAATATAGTTTGAGAAGCCTAGACGTTTTTTTACCTGTTATGGAACCAGAAGTCTTTAATCTTTAAATAACCTTTCTTTTTCTCTCTTTCTCTTCACCTGTGATAAGTGAATAGACAATAAAGAGTGGTCAAGAGCTTATCTTTAGAGTTAGATCAACCCAGTTTCAAATCCTGAAACTGGTACTTACTTCTTTTGTGGCCTTGGGTATGTTATTTAATCTTAATCCTTCATTGTAGAAAGGGCATAAGAGAAATAGCTCACAGGGGTGTGATAAAAATTAAATGAGGCAATGCATGGCATGTTGTAAGTACCTGGGAACCCCTGAACCCTGAGAGGTCCAAGAATCTCCTGAAATTAACTGTAACTGTGCATATGTGCACATGTGTAAATATATATACATATGTGTATTGCTTTTGGAATTATAGTTCATAGTTTTCATTTGATTTTTAATGAGGTGATTGGCTCCAAAAGTTCAGAAGAACTACTCACTTTAAAGCCAAGGAAAATATGGCTTTATGACAAAGCCAAGCATGGAAATTATCACTCAACTATGTATTAAGGGCAAATAACATATGACAAATAAAAAAGGAAAAAAAATGTAATTTAATTATAGAGAAGGACTAGTTGGTTTTGTAAAAAGCCACTTTTCTTAACATTGCAGAGATATAGAGGTCAAATATTCAAAATAGGTTGGAATGAATCATGCTAAATGGAAAGGAATTTATAATCTGCTCCTCAATCTCTCCCTGCCTGTTTATTAGGATATAATGTCCTTCCCCAAATTGAATGGTCCTTGCACTGGTCTCTGCAATACACAAAAGCCACTCTGGCTATATAATCTCAGGCAGAACTACTTAATATCTCTGAGCCATGGCTTCCCTTATTTGCAAAATAGTTATAATACTACCTGCCAACCTACAGGGTTGTTGTGAGAATTAACATAAGAAAATATATCTCACAGTGCCTAATATTGTGCCTAACACAGAGCAGTTGAATAAATTATTTTCTTAATTTGACATTCAAGGTCCTCCTAATCGGGCCTAATTCTTCCCTGCCTTTTTCCCAACTAACCTTGCCTCTATTTTGCTCTCCTGAAATTCATCCTCTGTGCTTCCACCAATGAGTCCTTTCTAAAACATAAATCAGACATCCTTCCTCTGTTTAAAAATACTACAATCATTCCGCATCGCATATCTCTTGAAGTCCAAGAGTTTTAACGTGATCACCAGGCCCTCTGTGATCTGGTTCCCAGCCCCCATTCTCTTGCCAGTTCTGTACTCTTACTTCACATTCTAACAACATAGAACTTATGTACCTCCCCAAATGCACATTACTGTGCATGCTTCCCTGCCTTTGCACGTGCTTTTCTGGATCCCTTAATTGCACTTCTGCTGGTCTACTCATTCTTCAGACAATGCCTCTCTGAACCCTGACCTTCACCAGCCGGTCTGATCACTCCCTACTCTGTTCTACTTTTGTTCCTTATTTTCATTATATCACATGCCATACTATTCACAAATATATCTATTTCTCTTACCTGACATTGATGTCAGAGAGCACCTTTTGCCAACATGATATCTAGCAGATACTTTAATATGCAAGCCCGGAACTTGAACACAAACCTAAATGTCTGCTCCAGGCAACTTGCTATATTCACTATCTCCAAAATACATTCCAATCCTCATAAGGTCTATCCCCTTCTCCTTGTAAGTCCACATTCTATCTACCTTTTAAGATCCAGTCAAAATCATTCTTCCTCCTTGAAGCCTTCCCTGACAAAGCAGCCTGTAATGAAATTTTCCTCTTAAAGATCCTAAAGTCATTACTGTCTTTCTTTACAACACAGCAGAGTGGGTGTGAGCACAAATCATGAAGACAAATTTTCTGGCTTAAAATCCCAGCTTCATTCCTTAATAGCCATATAATCTTGAGCATCTCTCTGAGTACTGGTTTCTTCATCCATAAAGTGTAATAACAACCGCCCCACTTCATAGGATCGTTGTGAGGATTATATGAGTTAGAGCAAATAAAGCACTTACAACTATGTGTGACAGATAGTAAGTGCTCAGTACAGCTAACTGTTGGGATAGTAATACTCATGTGGTAATACCTCATCATAATCTTTTGACATCTTTGGTATTGTGGTGTTGAACTACTCTTTAGATCCTACATTTTACGTAACTTTTCATGTATTTGTATCCAGTTTCCTTGGCTAGACTATACGTTGTTTAAAGAAAATTAATGTCATAAAGGTTTTTAAGAAAAAAGTGGGACATGCCTTGTCAAATGCAGTGGAGAGATTAAAAAGGTACAACTGGGGCACGTGGGTGGCTCAGTCGGTTAAGCACTGGACTCTTGGTTTTGGCTCCAGTCATGATTTCATGATTTGTGAGTTCAAGACCCATGTGGGCTTCACACTGGTAGTGCAAGAGCCTCCTTGGGATTCTCTCTCTGCCCCTCCCCCACTCATGCTCACACACACCCTCTCTTTCAAATAAACTTAAAAAAATAATTTAAAAATAAAAATAAATAAAAAGGTGCAACTCAGATGAGTCTACCCATGCAGTGAATGCAGACAGGAAAGCATAGAGATACAATTGGTTTTAAGTTTTTTTGGTTGCTGGTGAACAGCTTTGTACATAATAGCTTCTCAATAAATATTTTTCAAATGATTAGGTGCAACAAATATCAAATATCAGACTGGCTCCTTAAGCAATGTTTTCTTAGTTACTATGAAATAATTGATGCTAGCCTAAACAAAATAAACAGGCATATCTTTGGGAGGATTAGACGTGAATTTAAACCTAATCATAATAAATTTATAGACCAAATAACAGATTTTTACAGTTCTGCCATTTTGACTAACCAATTGTGATAGAAAATTGAGTTTGCTATTTTGCTTTTTTCTTCAATTTAATAAGTAAAAAATATTAGATTAATTCAAAATTAAACTTCCATCTGAAGTCAGGTATGTCACAGCAAACTCCCACTTTTGAATTCCCTTCACTTTATGCCAATGACAACAGATAAAAGCAAAATTCTTACCTTTCCTTCTTCAAGGTGAAGCAGGAGGACTTTATCTCCTGGTTTATAATCTTTCAGCAGCTCTGCTGACTTCCAAACTTCCTCAGGATCAGGTATCCAAACTCTAGCAAACTAGAAGGCAAGAAAAAAAAATTAAACTAGCAAAAAAAGTATTTTAGCCCCATTTTAGTACCATCCTGCCCACATTATATAAAAGGTATGCTCTGTATTGTGCTAATAATTTCATAATACATCTAAGTCAATTCACTATGTTGTACACCTTAAAGTAATATAGTGTGTATGTAATTATATCAGTAAAATTGGAGGAAAAAGTATGCTCTGAATAAAGAGCTACAATTAAAGTTTTAACTCTCTTTACATAGGAAATGCTACCTGAAAATAATATTTTAGGTAAAAATGTACATATAAATCCATTTTTCCATTGAATGTGGACTTTTAAAAATCCCAGAACGTGACTATGAAGCTCTGGTATGGTGGCTCTGCCAGTGGATTTACAATTTGAATTTTTGATTACGGTTTTCATCCTGTGTTCTGCAAAGACTTGGTGACTTCTCAAGTATTCCTCAGGGGCCAGTAAGGTGTGGCAAAGAGGAGAGTAAGCTTGTGGCCTGGAGTCACAGCTGTTTTATAGACTGGGCATCTAGAACTTTCTTGGAAGAAAGTTCTGTTGCTAATCTAAAAAAAAAATAAGAAAGCGTTGTCGTCTAGTATTTTGCCTTTATTATTTTATAAAGATGAGTGAAATGGTAGATTTGGCTAGCAATAAGTTTGGCTCTCATAGCCTCAATAGAATGAAAAAGGTATGGTAATCAATCATCAGGGGTTCCTGGAGCAGCAAATCTTTAGCCTCCACTAGTTACTCTCTGGACTTAAGCCTATTTTGGACTTGAGATCCATTTTGAAGAAAAAGAAAAAAAATATATCAAAATGAATGAATCCTCCAGACACCACAATGAAGAAATGTTTTATGACCGCTTGGATTCCTCAGGAAGGAATCTTCCTTAAAAACATTATGTACATTAAACGTTGATGGACATTTTCAGGAATATATTACATATAAAAAATATCACCACCAGCAGCCTTTCTCTATTTTCTTCAGAGTTCTAAAACTACCTGAACTTACTTATTGTTATATTATTGTTTACTTATTTATAATTTCTCCTTCATTAGAACATAAGCTCTATGTCTGCCTTGTTCAACACTATAACCACTGCCTGTGTATATAGCTGGGTTCATAGCTGGGTACATAGTATTTAATGAGAGAATCTCAGAATAAAGGGCATCTTCTTAAAGTGAATAAAAGCAGTATGGTAAAAAACTTACCCATTGCTTTACTTTTTTCTTATTATCACAGACTCATGCAAACTTTTTGTCTGAACAGTTTGCAAAGGAAAGGGTACTGAACTAGGTTATGAGTTCTAATCCCAGGACTACCATACTGGCATCTTAGCCTTTATTTCAGGCATTTGTAAAATGGGGATGACAGCAGTACTCATTTAGATAATCTCAAGGGCTTTCATACATAGAAACCTTGTGAAAAGCATAAGCCAATGTATAAGTACAGGTTGAGATTGTTACCAAGTGTGTATTCTATAAGAAATGATTGTTAATGTTCTATGTCAAATATGTTACTGAAAGTTGTTTTATGGCTTTCTTCCCAGTTATACAGTCCATAAACTGAGTAACAGCTGTCCAATTTACTAAAATTTTACTCATTCAATAAACATTTCTGTGTACCAACTACTCCGACTCTGAAACTCACTTTAGAAAGCCAGTATTTCTATAACTTTCTCTGGAGGAATTTACTGATTCCAGAAGAGATATACCATATAGGAGATTCAGAGTCATGAAATGACATACTATCCTGACTAATGAAAGCAGAAAAAAGCAAAATGAGTCCAAGTGAGTTTGCAGAAGTTTGACCAACCTGCTCCAAACATGAGATTTTCAACTAAATCTAGAAAGAAGCACCTTCCTATTATTTGTCAATAGCAAGTTCCAGCTCAGATTTCCGCAAGTGTTTTGGAAACACTGGGTGCATGCTTTGCCAAAGGCTAGATTTCCAAGAGCTAGGTGTTAACAACACTTGCAGATAGGTGAGGGAGGCTAAGGCCCTTACACTCACCATAGGTGAGATATTTAAATAACAAACAACACCCTGATAACCAAATTTCCCATTATCCTATCTCCATCTCTTGGTAAAGTAACCAAGGAGAAATAGGTCAGAACTCAGTCTGTTATTACCATTGTCTTCTTATGGTTCTTTTCAGTCTTAACCGAGGAGATTGGTGACTCTGCAAAAACAACTATACCAGAACTGGGTCAGTCTGGGAGGTATGTATATATATACCTTAGCTGCTGAAACCGAGAGAAATTCCAACCTGACAATGCCCCTTCCTATTTCCTGTGTCACCTCCAACCCTATTTTCTATTTTTGCCTTAGGCCCCCCAAGGAGAGTATACAGAGCAACCCTGAGAAACTGGACGAAACTTGTCCAGCCACATCCAGTGGGAAGACTGCAGGAAAACTGCAGTGGGAAGATAAGGCCATACGAGAAACCTAGAAGTGAAACACAGCAAGAGCCGGGCAGGAATCACATATAGGGGTGGACACACATACCTAGTAAGTCTGCTCAGGATTTCTTGGTGAAACAGAGGCAGTTAGCAAAAGATAACCCTAGCCAAAGTGAATCAGACTGGACACAGCTCCCAGCAAGACAAGGGAGTGTCCAATGTCATGTAACTCTGCTCTGTCCTAATTAGCTAGTAGAGGGTGAGGCTTTCCTGCCATGCTCCTCATTCCCTTTTCCTACTCATGCTTTTCTAATTTTATCCCTCATTATCTTGTGAGTCCCTCAAAAATCTCACTTATGATACTTCAGACCTTATCTTAGTTATTTACGGATCTATCTACCTCCCACGCCATACCATATACTCCTTAAAGCCATCCTGGAATCCTCTCTAATTTTGGCCAAGTTGCTGGCTCATGTTTGGTAAGCACCACATTTATGCTGGTTTTATTTAAGGCAGAGGTAGGACAAGATAAGGAAAAGAGATGGGAGAACTGGGATGAGAGGTGGCAAAGGCAAACTTCACAGGCATACCTTGGGATTTTTCCTGAAGCCACTAAGCACAGTTGAGATGGGTAGGAGTCAGAGACTAAGAGAAGAGAGATCCATGAATTAGTAAGCAAAGGAAACACTGCTGTAGGAACAGGTAGGAGAAGGGAAAGCAAGGATTTAGGATCTGAGGTACTGTGACTAAAGCCAAAAAAAAACCCCAAAAAACAAAAAAACCCACTGTAGGACAGGAAGAAAAGATAAAGAGGCTTAAAATAGATCATGTTAAAATGTAAACACACATCAAAGAAGATTAATGACAATCCAAAGGAACTCCTGATTAGAAAGGAGAGTAAGGACAAAATGGAGATGGGCTAAATTTTATGGTAACAGGCAAAATTTGAGTAAATAATGCTAGCACAGATTTAACTTGCATAATAGCTCACAAGGAAAATAAAAACCATCTGTCTTCTACAGTACAGTTTAATCAGGCCTGCCTGACAATGATGAGGTAATACTGACAGAGACTAATGGAAGAACACTGGAAAGATGGGTTCCGGGGACATGCTTGCACTGGTACTCGCCAGAGCGGGGCACAAACAGTGCTGGCTCAGCCTAGCACAGCCCTCCTACCTTCTCGGAGATCACACCCATCCATGCACACGTAAAGAGGCACCAGTCATCTTTCTTTTCTTTTCATATCCTCCCACAATGACAACACTCAAGAGGTTCTTGAATAATGCAGATGACTCAGGGGAAATTTTGCTAACTTGCACTCTGTCAGTCAAGGAACTCCGAGGTGTGGGCACCGAGAGCAGTTTTTCTGATGCCTCAGACACTTTGGGAACAAGACCGAAAGCACTAACCAAGTAAAGGACCAGTCCCCGAATCCCCCAAAATCTGACCCATGTGATTCTCTCCTCCCCACACACATTATTCATTTTTCATACAGCACATTTACACATCTTTCCTAGCTCCCCTATTAAATCATATGCAGCTTGGCAACATAGAACAACCTCTAGAACACAGTCCCTCCCCCTTTTCAGCCAGCATGCTCCTATTTATCATTCATATCTGTGGTAAAGTACCACCACCTCAAAGAAAGCTTTCCTCGTCATTTGATGGCATTCTATTCTCACTGTCCCCATTACCTCACACCATACTCCACTAGAATTCTTATCCTAAATAAATGATAACTTTGTATGCCTAATCTCCCTTCAGTAAGTGTGAGCTCCTTCAGGGTAAGAGTGTCTCTCATTCATCTTTGTCTCCTCAGCACTTAACACAGGGCCTGCCTATAATAATTTCTGAATGACCCTTTGTTATGTGAATGTTCTTGCCTTCAGTCATTATACTCTAAAAGGGCAGACTAAAAGAAGTATTGGCAAAAGGCTCTCAGAATCTTCTAGAAGGGTCTATAATTTCCAGAAATAGAGAAAGATGCAAGCAACATTAGATAGGTGAGTTACATAGGAAATCATGGTATTATAAGAAGGAAAAAGAACCAGACGTGTAGGGAGATTAGTAATAAAATATTCTTTCCATCCCCACTCCCCAAAAACCCATGTCTCTATCCCTTCATAATTCATATGTTTAAAAGTGGAAGCTACTACTCACTTCTAGAACAGACAGCCCCACTCCCAACCCGACCACAAATTCCTCACTCCCTGCTTAGAAGAGCAGGGTATGGGGTCACACTAAAATGAGAGGAAAGAGAAGATGGGCTGGGGGTGAACACACGGTGCACGGTGGATAGGGTTGGAAGTTAAGAGCGGTAGTGTTCTGTGCTCCTACGGCAGCTCTAGAATAATGCTGCTGATGAGCGAAAAGACAAACACCAAGTCCACTTTGTGGAACTTGACGAAGACTGTGAGGAATGACAGCTAACATTTATTGAGCATTTTCTCTATGTCAGTAAAGGCCTAGATATTTTACATATATAATTTCATCTAATCATCACCATAACCCCATTATTAACCCATTTTAATAGATATTGAGGCTCAGACCTGAAAAGTGGTAGAGTCTTTGTCTATTCTAAAAGCAAATATTCTTTCCACTTTACCATGCTTCTCCCTTGTTCTAACAGCACATCTTATAAAGAAGAAACCCACTCCCCCAATCCAAAATTGTTCCTCTTGGTATCATAACTGAAACAGTTATTAAACTGGTCCATGTCATCAGGTGAGACTTAAGAATGTTTCTTAACATTAAGATTCTTAACATCCAAGACTTAAGATAATGTGTCAAATCCACAGTAATCAGCCTGGCATCCATTCTGCAGTATTCCAATTGGCTCTGACAGGAGAATGAGGCTCTGCCAAAAATGAGTTGAGGAAATAATAGCAAAAAATCATCTGATGATGAGAAAGACTAAAACTTTTAACAAATGAATGATTCCAGCTTAACTTACTTCCATAAATGAACAAAATGATAGAGTTGATTTAAGATTTTTAATTTTTTTCCAACCCTTGATGTCACCACGTGTGTACTGTGAAATGTGCATGACTTAAAAGTAAATTGAATTTGTCAGTTTCCAGCAGGCATTGAAATGATTTTAAACTCATGAAGAAAACAACTCTTCAAATTAATGGATATGTTTTGTTACCAACAAGAAGCAAAAGTTAAATAATCTTATTTCTCTAGAAATTTACATGAGATGGCAGAGCTTTGGAATGAATATTTTTAGACACTGCAGTTCTTTAACATTTCTGTAAAGATTATTTTTGGACCTAGATCTCACTTTACAAGCACAGTCTTCATATGCACATCAAGAAAAATCACTATTTCTATCCACAATTAGCTAGTGGTATTTGGGGATAAATTACAAAATTTTAAATAAGAAAAACAAAGTTAAAACAATCACCAACAAAGAAAAGAATCATACTGATCATCTTCATTAGAAGGACTTTCATTAGGATGAAGAAAACACCTAACTTTCCTGTCTTTTACTTAATTCTTGCAATATTCTTTTTTTTTTTCAATGTTTATTTATTTTTGGGACAGAGAGAGACAGAGCATGAACGAGGGAGGGGCAGAGAGAGAGGGAGACACAGAATCGGAAACAGGCTCCAGGCTCTGAGCCATCAGCCCAGAGCCTGACGCGGGGCTCGAACTCACGGACCGCGAGATCGTGACCTGGCTGAAGTCAGACGCTTAACCGACTGCGCCACCCAGGCGCCCCAACAATATTCTTTATAATTGTTATTAATAAAGAGGTTCCTCAATCAACAGCCTGAGCAAAGTTAAACAACTGGCCTGAAAATCACTCAGCTAATAAATGACAGCGAAAGGATTCAAACCCAGAGTGAACTCGAACTTCAAGATGTTTAGACTGTATAAGGAAGAATACAACCAACATAATTCAAATAAACCACTTTCTCCTGATTGTGACCAAAGTTGCCCAATTAAGCAAAACTCACACCTTCCTACTATTTTCAACACTTGCTCCCAATGTGGAGAACAGTATAAAAAGGGTCATATTAAATATCTACAGGCCTGTGTGTATAGATAGATGTCTTCCTCTCCCACAGAATATCTATCATTCTGATAAATGATCTGGTGCTGAAAGAAGTCATGGGTAATTTTTAGATCTCAAATAAAATGTCTCAACATGGTAAGTTTTGAAAGAACTGGACAACATATACGTTATATGAGACAACATAGGTAAGCAGGCACCAGTAAGTAGTTCCATCCCATTTATAACAGGTGGCTACCTTTGCTTTGCTCCCAGCTTTAGGGACAGACACTTCTGGCTACAATCACGGTCTGGTGCTAACAACACATTACAGGTCTTTCATGATCTGGCCTCTGCAAAAAGGCAGAACTTTAATAATACAACAACCCAACAAACCCAACTCAGTTTAAGTGTTATGACCTCCAGGAAGCCTTCCTTGACCAGCACATTGAGGCAAGGCTCATGCTTGGACTGTCTATAATATCTGGTTTCTATCTCTATCTATGCACTTGCCACATTCTTTTTTTTTTCACATGCCCACCTCTTTAACTCTTTAACTAGATTGTGACCTCCTTGAGGAAAAGATCTATGACTTATCCACTGGCATCATCTCCATACCTGGCCCAGTGCTTAGCAGATAGATGCTCAAGAGATGTCTGTTGAGCGAATAATAAATAAATAGACGAGTCTTTAGGAGCCACAGAGCTTTCACAGATTTGAAATGTGAAGGAATGTTACGCAGTGAGCCAGTCAAGGCAGAAGTCATAGAAGAGATTTGAAAATAATTTAATTAGAGGTGTGTGGGTGGCTCAGTTGGTGAAGAGTCTGACTTCGGCTCAGGTCATGATCTCACGTTTCGTGAGTTCAAGCCCTGCATCAGGCTCAGTGCTGACAGCGTGGAGCCTGGAGCCCGCTTTGTTCGTTGTCTCCTTCCCTTTGTGCCCCTCCCCCACTCATGCTCGTCTCTCTCTCTCTCTCGAAAATGAATACACATTAAAATAATAACAATAATAACCATGAGGGTAATAATACAAGCATGAGTGGAAAAGAATAACCCAGTCATCCACACTTAAAAATACAAGCTGGCTTGCCCAAATGAAAGAGCATTTCTTAATAGGAGCTTACTTTAAAAATGAAGAATAGAACATGAATAAACATGAAGAGCATTTAAGGTAGTAAAACGTATTCACATTTCTCTTATCTGCTACCTATTACTCTGCCTGTAGCTTGAGTAGACTTTTTTGATCAACAAAATCCCCATAAAAACTGCTTAAAAGAAACCTACATGGGAATGCAAGTTGGTGCAGCCACTTTGGAAAACAGTATGGAGGTTCTTCAAAAAACTGTAAGTAGAACTACCCTATGACCCACCGATTGCACTACTAGGTATTTATCAAAGGGACACAGGTGTGCTGTTTCGAAGGGACACATGCACCCCAA